TTAATTGATTTCATGTTTGTTCCCTAGTGATAGAACCATAGTAAGATTAGTAACAAATTAAAACTTCCAGTATGGCATCTTATGAATGATAAATATAGCAGTATACAAAATGCACCAGTTCCCAAGTCAAAATCACTCATGTTATCGCTTGCCTGAGGATCGTAAAAGAAACAGGATAAATATTATAAAACTTTGGAAACATACTTGTCTGAAAGGTAGTCCATCATAAAGGTTGAAGGCTTTCCTACAACAAGTGGATCACGTTGAGTTGATCCACAGATGGCACCAACCATAGAACCACCACCTGAAATCAAGTATTTTGCTATACAGTGAATTACAGAGTTGAGGGAAAAATGATTGTATCATAAGATTAAGTTCATACAACAAAATTAGGATGAAAGAGTTTTTAAGGATACATATATCTTCCTAGAATGTCAAACGAACACGATGCCTAGTAGTTTTGAAAGTTTCGGATCATAATCTTTTGCTTTTCTGTGTTTATAATTTAGGGTCCAGTATTCAGCTACTAAATCACAAGTTGTCTAATATTCACATACCTTTTACCAACGGTTTATAAGAGAAGAAGATGATGTTGTGAAAACAAAGTTCAGTTAAGGTTAAAGTGAATAGAACCTGCCCATTCCTGAGCATCTGTGAGGTGAGTGACGGCATCCCGATTTGTAGCAATGAAAAGACAACCGGGATTTTCACGTATACAAAGTGTTCCATACCTCCATTAAGAGGAAAAAGAAAACTTAGTAACCTCATAAAATCAAGAAAACCATAAATATTTAGCTTCACTGTGATAAAAATATGACATTTGTTAAACCATCAATCTTCAGCTACTAATCAACAGTAATGTGAAATAAAATCTTCATTGATCTATTAAATCCTGTTAGTTATACGTTTTCTCTGGTTCCTTTAAAAAAACTCTAGGCTGTGTTCCTTTTCCGCGAAACCATATGGTACAAGTAAACTGTTTGCCAGGCGAGTGCACACACAGGTGTGTTATTAGAAAGTGAAGAACTTACTGGACTTTGTAGTAGTTGAAGTATCGATCAAATCCAACGACCACAGCCCCAACCTATATATAAAAAATGAAAGTTCAAAAGCTTCTTTCTGTTTGTTTAGAGCCAAAATGGTTAAAATTATGATCATTGAGACATTTTTTTTCAAGTGTTGCAAAGTTAGAAAAAAGGGACAATGATACAGATAACAAACAAGATAAGATTTTACATCATGATCATGCTCCATTAGAAACCCTGGCTTTAGCTCTATCTTCTTTCCACCATCTTCCTGCGAAATAATTAATACATAGCAAAAAAGATATGCCAATAATAATAATAATAATAATAATAGTAACAATAATAATAATAATAATAAGCTGCTAATAAGTGAATTCGACATGATATTCAAGTTCTAAGATTAGTATAGTTACACCTCATCCCTGTGCCAAAACTTTCTACACCAGCCAGTGAGTGCAAGATTAAAGCAGTAAAAACTCCTCAAGCAAAATAAAAAATGTCAAGGATCTTTTTCGGTTGAGTATTAATAGCTTGGAAGTATACGATCTACAGAGAAATTTAATAGATATATTATCATCGGTATGCATCTTTGTACCAGCTACATACATGGCATGCTACCCCGCCAAATATAGTTTCCAATAAAGAGATGGTTCTATGATATTGAAAACAGGGAAATGAAGAAATCCTAACGTAAAAATATTAGTATCTGCTATATCCTTTTTCTTCCAATATCGATAAATAAGCTCTTAGCAATAATCTTTACCAAGTTTGTTTACTAAAAAAGTATAAATTTTCATTATATCAAGAGAGGCCATACTCCACAGAGTAAAGCAAAGAAGTACAGTAAGATATATATCGAGTAGGAATACCGATCTTACAATCCGATTGATCAAACAGCAGCTATTAGCATCTTTTGACTGACTTTCTGGGATGAGGAGAGGATTAAGGTAGAATAAATTAGAGCAGCTCACTCTTTTGTGTTATTACTGCTAATTTTCATATTTGATTCAGTGAAATGATCCTTTAACTGTTTACAAGAGTTTAGCAAGTTAATGAGAGGTCAATAAATTTATGAGCTTTGCAGATTCCATAATGTTTACAGAATAATTGGTGCTATGTTGCAAACTGAAACAAATACATACCGGCCCACCAAGGTATTGGAATCCTGCAAGCTCAAGCTCCTTTAAGATGCCATCCTCACCAATGACATAAACCTATATCATGATAAGCCATCGGTCCATAATCATTCATGATATACTTTAGGAAGCTGATTCAAAAGTGCTCATTGATACATAAAACCTATGAGATAAGGGGGATAGAAAACAGTGAATGTAAAAAAGAAGCAACATTTAGTACCACTAATGATATCATGCAAAAACTTTTTAAACATATATTGTTATGCTAAAACTTTGGCTTCCAGTTAAGAAATAAATTTAGGCATGGTGGTCCATCTGATAGAAGATTTCCAGTTGTGCAACACGTGACTTAAAAAAAATACTCACTTTTTTATCTTTTGGGAAATTAATGGACTTCAGATATGCAGCCGCAGCAAATGAAGATGCAAAAATTTCCTCCTGAAATCATTAATCAAGTCAGAACTTATGGTTGGCAGCTGAATGTAAACAACACCAGTGAAGCTTCATGGACTAACCTCACTGACATTCAGACCAAGTGTCTCAAACTTTTTACCATATTGTTTCCTGGATTTGGTCGAGTTGTTAGTAACGAAAACCAGTCTTTTCCCCTGAGGAACAATGAGATCAACATCAGCGACGGACGTAGGATTTTATGATAGGGAAAACGAACTTATATTACAAATTTAGGGGACGAAAAAAGATTCTCAGTAAAAGAAAATATAAAGAAAATGTCTAAAATATATGAAATTTGAAATTTTCAGGGATCGACAGCTCTCCCTCAGTCCATCACTGATCAACATGTCTGTTAGCTATAAAATATGGCTTTTTTTTCTAAAAGAAAGAAGCAACCTGATTTTGCAAATATCCGTGGAGATAATAAAAATACACATCCAGGCTCAATTACAAACCTTTGACCGAAGCATATCAAGAGTTTCAGGGACTCCGTCTATTAATTTATCACCCTTCCATATAACTCCTGCAAAATATCCATCTATTAGCAGAAAATTCTTTTGGTTACATCAATGTCAATCAATTAATCTTATTACTGAACTCATCAGTTCCATGCAATATCAATTTATCAAGAGATCGATCCCAAACAAAAAGGTTCTTCCTTTTTCATTAAATTTCTTAGCATTTTCCAACATGGCTAAAGGTGTAATTGCCAAAAAACTATATTCTACAATGACTGTAGTCAATTGTTTCATCATATTTTCCACCAAATTCCTGAAAAGCAATTTCAAGTGAATGCTCCAACTATTAACTAAAAATCAGTGACTTAAATAGCAGTCCGCGCTATAGCACCCGTTGTATAGCGATAACCGTGCTGTCCGATATTATTGCTGTATGACCACAATACCCGCTATGTCTACAATCGCAATAAAAAAACCCAAAAACAGGACTGCAACCACAATTTTAATTCCAGCTAAAACCCCACCAATAGGCATTATTAGATAAAAGTTAATCACTGTCGAATTAAATAACCATCTGCTATCGGAATAGCGGCAGTCTGAAATTTTTATTTCACTATCGTCATATCCATAATAACTAGAATAACACCAGTTATTACCACAATTATGATAAACGCATCACAACCAAAAATACTACGAACAACACGGTTATAACCACGCATCGCAATAAAAAATACCACCATAACCTCAGTTTAAATCCCTGATCACCGCCATCTATAGATAATGTTTTATTTTTCAGAAAAGAAAAGGAAATTAAAAGTAAAACTCATTATAACCATAATGAAAAGGAATGAAAATGATGACCATCGCAATCAAAGATGAAAGTCTCGACGGAGGCAATAAGCTCGTCGGCGTTCTGCAAAGGTTGAGCGGAGGCCCTTGTTATTGTTGTGAAACCCTCCATTGTTCTGGCCGATTTGATGGAAGTGCAGTTACTGAGACCTCTGCATTTGATGGCCAAAGCAGAAGCAGAAAAAGAGTTGAGAGAAGAGAGACTTTTGAGGCAAGAAAACCGATGAGATGGATTTATTAGAAGCTTTGAGGATGTAATAGAAGCTGCAACAGAAACTGAAACTACTGCTTTGGTGACCATCTTCTCCTCCTCTTGCTTTTTCTTTTCTTCTTTTTTTTAAATAATTTTATTTCAGTTTGATGAAGTGACGGCGATTTGTGGCCGTTATGGTTTAGCCACTTCGAGTGGTGGCATTTTGTCTTATCATCTATTTCGTGGTTCATTATTTTCTTTTCTTACATTTATTATTTTTCATTTACATTTTATGACTAGATGTGTTTTTTTACAACATGTGAAAAATTAAACTATGTTATTTATTAATTGAATTTTTATTTCTCTTCATTTTCAGCGATGTGTGAACCATATTATAAGTTATAGTTATTGAAGAATACGGTTTCGTTTAAAAATGTTTCTCTAAATGAGTTTTTTTTAACGAGTTTTATTAATTTAGAAGTATCATTTTTTTTAATATTATGATTTGAATCAATAGTAATGCTTTAAATGTGAATCTTTTCTAAAGATGAGTTGTTTGGAAATGCAAAAACGTTTTAATCGGAATTTTTGACAAAAAAAATACTTATATAAGCATTCACAAACGACACCTAAGTCTATTAAGAGTAGGGGTATGTAAAAAATTCGATCCGACCGATCCGATCCGTTGATCCGATCCGAAAAATCGGATATCCGATCCGTTTTTCAATTTTCGGATAGTTCAGATCGGGTATCCGAAATTTTTTTCGGATTATCGGATCGGATACGGATCGGTAAAAAATAATTTTCGGGTTATCCGAAAATCCGAAAAAAAATTTGGGCTATTTTCGATAAAGAGATGTTGTGGTTTGGGAGGAGTTGTGGAGCTTCAGGCTATTTTCGGATTAAACCTCTTCGCCAAAAATGGGTCTGAGAAGTTCAATAACATATGCATAGTACGAAATGAAGCTTCACTTTCCGTACAAGTTTCCACAGCTGCGTTTACTTTGCCCTTCATGTCAACACTCCAAATTTCAGTTAAATCTCTTTGCACTACCACATCGTGATTGAAAAGAACAATCTTATTCAGTGCTGGAAAGATGTCTGGTAGATAAAACCGCAGATGGTTGAGGGCTGAAGTAAATCTTGGATCATAGGACTTTTGTTCCTTCAATGTTGAATTATACTTGGTAGACAACCAATCAAAACTTTCTACACTCTGAAAATGGATTGTAGCTTTTCCAGGAGGATTTAATAAAAACCACATCGAAATTGCTGAGAGGTTTAGGTAATTGGTTACCACATTAAAAACAATTTTCTCCGGCTCCTGCATAACCAGGTATTAGTTAACCAGGGTATATTTCATCCATTAAAAGGTAAATCATGGGGCCAATCCTTAGTTAGCTGTAGCTAATTCATCAAAGTAAGAAGAGTAATGACAGAAGTGTATTGTCTTTTTCGAGGGGAAATTGATCTAATGGCAAGTTAGGATAAGCTTATTGTATAAAGGAAAGGATAAAGAACTCCTTGGCAACTTTAGAAAAGTTCAATCCATTAATTCGTTATAAATTCCAAGTGTATCATTTATTGTCCAGAAATGTAAAACCACATCACACAAAGTTTCCTAGCGTGATTTATCACTCACAATTCTGTTATGTGACTGTTTTTAATGACAAACACTCTATATAAGCAAATATGTTTAAAAAAATAAATTAAAATATTGAAATTTATTGAAAATCAACAGAGCAAATAATGAAAGTTGGCAAAGGCATCTTACCTTTGCAGATGAAATTGTGGAGTTAATAATCACTGCACAAGCGAGGACATTGTCAGAAAACACTGCATAGTGATAGAGGTCTGGATTATTCAACTTTGTTGCTTGCCCGCTTCCTATTCTCAAATGGTTTAAATTGCAGAACAAGGGTAAAATTATCAACCTCTTCCTTAAGCATCTGCAGGAAACCACATAGGAAAACAATAATTATAGTAAAATATCATGGAATGATCAGCATAGGTATGTTCACCATATTGATAATAAGTTTGGTTTAGAGAATCTGATGAGTATCACCACATACGCCTTGATTTATGTTAATTGTTTTTGAATTTTTTGCAAAAAAAAAAATTGGATTCGGATCCGGATATTCGAATATCCGATCCGAAATTTCGGTTATCCGAATTTTTGGATATCCGATTTTTTCGGATCGGATACGAATCATTACTTTAGGTATCCAAAATTTTCGGATATCCGAAAATTCGGATCGGATAATATCCGATATCCGATAATTCACACCCTAATTAAGAGAGTAAAGTATATTCTATTATTTAAAAAAAATATAAAATTAGTTTAGATAAACTATACTAGTGACCACCGAACTATAGCTCATTTTAATTTTGACCATTATTTTTTATTTTTTGTCTATCAGGTCAGTCAATTATTTAAATGCATTCAATCAGGTCACATGCTGTTAACATTTAATGGAAGCATTGACATGGCAGTTAATAAAATAGATATTATTACAAATTTTATATTTGTTACATATATATTTTATTAATTTAGTCTTAATTTTAATAAATTAAAATAAATTTATTTTTCGAATGAGATCATACCACGTGTCACTAGTATCAAATATCATGACATGTGTCGCCATCTAATTGGAGGATTTAATTTATTTTAATTTAATATATTTATTTTCCACCAATCAAATAGTGATATGTGTCACGCTCTGATAAAAAAAATTAAAGCAACACAAAATAAAGGGATGTGAGTGAGATTCAAACTTAGGTCTTAAGGTTGCTATATCAACCTTCCAACCATTTAATCAAGAAGAATATTTGATTTTGGTATAAACCACATACAGTATATATTTTTTATATTAATCTAAACTTGAATTTTTAATATTTTATATAGTACTCTATATTTTAATTTAAATTCACATATTAGCATTAAAAATATTTTTTTATTTTAAATTATTAAATCTATTTATTCTTGTCTTAACCTATATATATATTGTTATTTTTATTTTAACTTAAAATATATTTAAATAAAAATAAAAATAAAATATATGTATTTTTTAAGTTAAAAATAAGAATAATATATATTTTTTATATTTTAATAAGGGTAAATTATATTTAATATCTACTATAATTTTTAATTTTTAATGTAATAACAATTTTTTTTAAGTTTAAGTAAGAGATAATTCCAAATAATAGATATTATTTATCAATAAATTTGAATAGATTTAAAATCAAAATGGAATTATAATTTAAGATGAATATAAACTAATTAGGTATAAAAAGTTATTGTAAACATATCAATTGGACTCTTATGAATTATTGAATAACAATTTTTTTAAGTTTAAGTAAGAGATAATTCCAAATAATAGATATTATTTATCAATAAATTTGAATAGATTTAAAATCAAAATGGAATTATAATTTAAGATGAATATAAACTAATTAGGTATAAAAAGTTATTGTAAACATATCAATTGGACTCTTATGAATTATTGAGCACCCAATTGTATTATTCTATTAATAAAATAAAAGCAATTGGGCTCTTATAAATCAATGTGCACTCAGTTAGATTCTTCTAATTTTTAATCAATTAAATCATTTTATTAAAAAAAAATCAGTTATTTCTTTCGTTAACAAAAATCGTTGTTATTAATTTATTGAAAATTAGCGATAAAATTTTTGAAATAATAGTGGAAAAAATCTTTCAACATAGGTTGTTGAAGAAATTATTTCTTCAAATAGGATGAATGTTACAATGTCATCGAAAGTCGACATAATCATCTAATATCTTTTGAAAGACATCTAGAAGACTAAACATCTTTTCTATTAAGACACATATTTATGTTCTTCATCTTCCCAAGCTTCATCAACAACAACACCAGTGGTCCATACAGAAGACGTCTTGTAGTCAGCTCGTTTTCTTAAAGATATCATATGATCCGCTCGTTTTCTCAATTATATTATAGTAAATACCCTATTTGAAAAACCTAATCACTAAAGTTTAATTTTGTCAATTTTTATCACTGATGTTTATGCTTAACTGCAATTATGTCTCCCCTTCCGTTAATATGTTAATGAGACACTTACATGGCATCTCCTTGCTGTGACAGTGATAATATGGACGGTTTCATTAAAACAACGTTTTTAAAGACTATTTTTATTCTTTAAATGACGTAGTTTTATGAATGACTTTTATTATTTCCAAAATCCATTAAATTATTCATTAATCTATTATTATTCTCAAAACAAAATTAAACCCTTCCCAGCCAAACCCCAAAACCCATAAGACAAACAAACCAAAATTCAAAGGAGAAAAAAGAATCCTCTACGACTAAAAATTTCTTTCATTTGATATTTCACTGCAAAAACAAAATGGAGAAATGGTTCATGCAATCCAAAGGAATGACAACGAGAATGAAATGTGGTAAGGATGTTCTAAAATGAAAAGTTTTTTTTTGAAGATTTGTTCAAAATATTTTTAGGGTTTTATCTGAAAAAATTCTTTCATATCTTGTTTTCTATGGGAAATAATATACCTGAAATAGGATTTTATTTGGTTGTTTTATCTAAATATTCTTGTGAATTAACTTCAAGGTTTTATACAATTTGTTTGTTGTTTTCGATTTATTTTTCGTCTTATGATTACTGTTGCATATGAATATTTTTATATGTCTTGTGATTGTTGTTGTTGAATAGGGTTTTTACTGTTATGAAGTTGTCATCAATGGTAGTCCAAGTTTTATTTTATTTTTTAAACACTAGTAGAAAAAACCCCTTTAATGACGCACATTGCGCGTCATCATGGGTGCGGATGACACACATTTTCCTGTCGTTGAAGCCACCGACATGAATTTAAGATGACGTACAACTGTGCGTCATAAATTTATGACGCACATTTATGACACACATTTATGACGCACATTTATGATGCGCATTTATGACGTTCATTGAGCGTCATTGAAGCCCCCGTCATAAATTAAGATGACACACATTTGTGTGTCATAAATTTATGACACGCATGTATGACTTTACATTGCGTGTCATTGAAGCACAAACCATTAAAAAAGATGACACACATTCGTGTGTCGTGATTGTATTTCGTAAATTATTGTTGTATATATATATATTGTAGATTGACAAATAATCAAACTAAATCACATTTAATGACTCATAATACTAAATGTATATATCATATTATATATAAGCAATTCATTTGCATACAATATATTCACATTAAGTTACAAACATAATATCCATCACCTATGGCTATTTGAAAACAAAAAACCAAGAATGTTCTCAGATTATCACAAGAAAGATACTAACAGATTATAAGATCTTAGATACAACTCCTATAACTTCTTCTGCAATTTTGAAGTTGCTTCTTCAGAGTCGATAACTCTTGAAACAGGCTGCGAATAAGCACTGGCTTCAACTGAACTAGTAGGAACATCATATGCACCAGCTGTTCCCGAACCTTTCCCAAAATTAGAGCTGGTCACCTTTGGTTTCCACTCCTAATTTGAACCAACTGCTGATGACATATAGGAATTAATACTTTCATATATTAATCAAGCATCAACTATCTTCAAGTGAGAACATAAAGTAGTCCTAACATTTTCATTTATGGTCACCCATCACTAAATAATATGAAAAGAACGAAAAAAACAAGTAAATTTGTAGTAAAGGTATCTTAAGCTTTAAAAGTTTTACTTTTCATTTCTCACAGTTACAATGTTATTTAAGGGGATAAGTCTATTTACATATGGGTAATTCACCTATCCTTCTCGGTTATAATGATGATTTTCATTCAAACTTGCTACTGAATTCTATTTCGCTCAGAGGAAAAGGTGATTGATATTCATTTACCAAAATTAGTTATAGATTCCAATGATTATAAGGAGTAACATAGTGGGTCTAAACTCTGAACATCCTTAATCAATAAAACAAAGGAGGGCATTGAACTAAACTTTCATGGTCTAAGTGAATTTATATAAATCCCATCTCTAACAAATAACACACATATCTTGATATCTAGGTTAGATCGAGACAACTTAAGCATCCATGTACAGTCCAACAAAAAGCCAAAAATCAGCTTTTTTTGTATCATAAGGATTATAGCACAAAATCTACAATGTTTCTCTAGATTTACCCAATTAAGCCATAAAACCAATATAAAACACCATCTAAGTTTCATCAGCAATTACCAATATATAGAAAAGTTACAAAACAACATTGATTTGGAAACTGAAAAGTTAAATAATAATCCATTCTACCTGCAGGTTTCTTTGATTTGGATCCAATAAATTTGTTATTTGCTCATTGTATATCTGCAAAATAAAATTGAAAATGAAGTGATAAGGAACAAGAATAGTACAACGCTAAGCAGTCCAAATATGTCAAAACTAAGAATCAAAATAATTCAATTATGTTTATCAGCATGTTTAATTCATAACTTCTAAACGAGAAATATAGTACAACTCAAATACCCACATCGGCACATAGAACTCCAATTATAATCCCTCTAAGGTGGGAAAGACGGACAATAATGCATAAAGTATGGAAACAGGAATTACTCAATCGCACTGATTTAGCAAATTAGATTACTAAATTACATACCGATCAGCTGGTAACCACAGAAGTCACATATAAGTTAAATGTCCTCGGGAATAGACTATTAATAGTAATTTAACTTTGAAATAGGCTTGTGATGCTATATGCATGAAAAATAGAAAGACAAAGGATATCATAAAGGCAAAAACAAGAAATTCATAGATCATTTAAAAGCATAGTAATAGAACCCCAAACAAAGGGAACTAATTAACAACACAGAAAATATTAGGAACAAAAGGCATATTGACAGTGGAACTTACATTTTATTAAAGAACGTTTCCAATAATACTGAGAATTAAGCTTATTGGTTACAAATAATAATGCATTAATGCTTACCTTTGGGACAGGAACTTCCCATGTTGCCACTGCCTTCAAGTCTAAAAATAAAATTAACAACCAAAAAATTCAATGAGAATAGACTCTAACCAATTAACTAGAGAGCCACTGATTAATAAAAACTAACATACCATGGTTGCAAAAGTCAATGCCAGGGAAAAGACCCTCCACCCAAACAGTTTCTTCTTGTTTCGATGTGGAAGTTGCTCCATTGACTTTGTTATCATTCTCATGATCCTCAAATCCTGATATAAACCCAAAATAAATAAAAGTCTTTAACCTCAGCTCCATGTTAATACAGTAAACTTTCACATGTGAAAGCAAATAAGAGGAAAGATCCAGGCACAAAAGTGGTAAGAACTAAAGTGTAAGCTCACTTTTTCCATCAATTTCATTAACATGCTCTCCACTTAGTCCACTATGACTGATGGTCACCTCAGAACTTCTTTCAACTGAACAGGTTATCTCGGTATCTTCTTGAATTTGGGGAAATACATAAGAATGTGAAGAGGAAGGTTCAGAGCACGAGACCAAAATATAGAATTCGCCCTAGCATTACAGAAATCACGCATTATTAACCACAAAAGTTTGAAGTGCAAGGAATGACATCATATCATAGTCAATCTCCTTCATTGTCCCCACCCACCCCATTTTGAGAGAGAATAAGAAAGAGTTCATTTTGAGGAGATCCCTACCAAAGGAAATCTTCAAAGCATACCTCACTGCAAAAGAAGCATTAACAACAATTCATAATTGGGAAAAAGGAAAATAAACACACTTGATTCCTACTTTTCTGAAACTCCATCAAGAGCAAGATGTTTCTTCACCAAACCCTTCACTTTATCTTCGTACACAGAAATCAAATCCTTTTTCTATAAAACAATTACACTAACTTTCATCATCATGGGTAGTCAAATTACATGCATTTCATCTTCAAGAGAAACATTAAACTATATGCTTATATTTACCTGGAATTCAGTTGCTCTATACAAGATTGTTCCTCTCAATTCCAGCATCTCATCATCGGTAAACCATAACGGATTCCCAAAAGTGGTGGGAAGCATATCAAAATACTTGAACCAGTCTTTAAATCCACATAAATAATAAATAAAAGAAAACTAAAAGAAAACAATCAAATATGTTAAGTACATACGGTTCCACGAAGAATTCTTTCGGAGACGTTCCACAGTAAGAAATAAAATCATTAAAAACCTATCATCAACTTCTCCTTATTGAAACATCGCTCTACACTCTGCTCCAATTAAAGGATCTTACAAATTTAACAAATTTAACTTTGTATTCTGTCAGGTATACTTGGACTAAATAGCTCTAATGAACAAATCGAAAAAATTAATAGAAAATCACACAGTAGCAACTATAAATGCAGTATGGACAAAGGACTTAATGAAATGCTCTATTTAAACCAGAGATGTTACCAGTTCGACAGTGTTTCTATCATACTCCCAAGTTGTCCTGGCCTCAAATCCCTTCCAGCAGCAAATTGGATCTTCCAGAACAAATATTAAAGATTTTAATTAGCGAAGAAAAATAAATTTAAAGGAAAATTCTTGAGAGGAAAGAACAGTATACCTCAAAACATCTTTGCAGCTGATCCAACTTTCCTCTGACTATACCCTAACAAAAAGGTTGGGAAAATGAACAAAAATAAGCACACTTTCATTATATTTGCACCTCCAGTAGAACTTACTTCCCTTAAAATTCAACAAAACATCCAATGGGAAGGCAAGTGCCCCACCTTCCCCTTCTTTCTCAGACCTTTGTGAAAGCAGAGCCAGAGTGGTATTGGGTTTGACCACCAAAGGAAAGTTCAAATAGCTGTAGAAATAACAGTGAACAATGCAGGGCCACTCTAAAAGTTAATCGTCCCAAAAAAACAAACATGAATGCAGAAACAACTGCAAAGTTCTTTTACATGTAACACATTGCATAAAAATCATCCATTGGTTCTCAGGGCCTTTCAAGGCCGTTCCAGTAGCTAAAGCATGTCATAATGGAGTAAATCCTAGGATAAAAATTAATAGAGAATTAAGCTGGGAGTCTACCCACCGCATACATGAACTCATTGATAAGAAAATCTTCAAGTTCACGAACATTGGTGACAACTAACTCCAACATTAGTTGATCATATGGTAATACATGGTCAAGATATTTAAATGGTAAATGAACTTGATGCAACCAACATTTACAACCTATAGTGTCATTGTCAGACAAAGGGTATATCCATTTCAGTTAGAAAGTGGAATAAAACAATTCAGAAAGGCATTAAAAATTTTCAAGATATTCTAAAGACTTGGTTTCTTCACGTTACGAAGTCAAAGTGGCACGTTCAATGAATATCAAAATAACTATAACCACTACAATGGAACGAGGCTGACAACTATAGCATATTTAGATGATCAAATGCCCTCTTAACTCAACTACAATACCTTGTTCGTCTCAGCAAGTGTAAGGACAGTGAGTTACTTTAACTTGAGAACTTGATCAGGGACCAGTTGAGGAAGGCTGCCACTATTGCCTAATCAAATAGTTTAAGCAGCCAGAGTTGGTCACATTATGATGTGAATAATAACTATAACAACAATCAAAGACAGAAATAATCAAGTGGATTAATTAAGTGAAGGGTAACATTTAGAAGAGTAAAACTGGTAATCTTGAAGAGATTTACACGGTAGTGACAAATGTTTACTACTAATGATCTTCAAATTATCTCAAATAGAAAAAATATGGGTACAAGTGTATTAAAAACATCACAAACTTGTCACAAACAATAAAACACAGGTTTTCTAGCTTACTCTTGTAATCGCTCCATGTGCCATGGGCAAACAACCGAAGCACCTCCAAGTACACCGAGTTTTCAATTCCGTCAAGCTGCAAAGGTATATAGGTTTCTTATAAATTACAAGTAAACTAAAGCATCAAACCGAAAGTGAAGCAATGAATAAAACTAAAACACCAGACTATATTGACAGAAAAAGAAACAGGAAGAAATGTTATTAAGCTATGTGCAGCAAAAATAACTGATGACGGCTTTTATTTCTCAGATTGAGGAAAGTAGGGGAAAGAAAATAAAAGAAACTGATAATGGAATAGGTCTTTACCTCAGGGACGGTGGGCAAGGCAAGAATCTCGGAGAAGGCGAAGAGTGAAGGATGAGACGTCGCTTCGACGATAACGGAAACAAGGGTCGTCCCCTTCTGAGCCGACGCTTGCTTAACGAAGTGATCGATGAACTCATCTTACTTTTTTTCGATATCCATCTTAAAAACTTGAACCCCCGACCACAAACCAGGAGGGGGGAAAGAAAAAGGAAATGGAAATAATTTGAAGAATTTTACTGAAAACAAAACAAAAAACACGGAGAGAGAAGCTTTTAAGAAAATAAAGAAAGCAAGTTAGGGTTTTGGCGTTGGAGAGAAAAGGAGAGAATGAAAGGAGTGCAAAACATTAGGCGTGAACTGATTATGAGGGGAAGAAGTGGGAAAGGATTAAAATAATATGGGGAAATTAAAAGACGACTTTTACAGATGACACATAATTAAAAAGTGTACTTCGTGTTTTTATAAATTTTTTGGATTATGACTATTAAATATGACACATATTATTGTAAGCCATAAATCGTTTAGCTTTTAAAAAACATGACATTTTTTATGAAACACATGTTTTGCAAGTCATAAATTAGCGTGTGTCATCGTTCGTGTGTCATTAAAGGTATATTTTCTTGTAGTGAAAGTTTACATATAAATGATGGCCCATCAACTAGGTTTTATGTCTCTGCTACCATGATTCTAAAAGTTGGGTAAGGGGACCACCATTATTCTAAAATAATATTTTATACTTTAATAAATGATTTTTTTATAAGTATAGAATCTGAATATTTTACAATTGCCATGCACCATAGTGACTTTATGGTAAATTCATCTAGTTTAAAGTAGATTGGCAAGAAGGAAAGTTTTTTTATGGTAAACTCATGGAACATTTAGGACTGAGTTAAACTTTGAAGAAGATAAATAATATGTAGCTTATGAAAGTGATTCTTCTTATAGTAATTTTGAGTACAATGAAAATGATGTGAGTGATGAAGATGAATCTGAACATGAGTTACATGTGGGAGTAGATTTTGAAAGAGAATTTAATGGGTTACACAATAGAGATGAGGGGTCTTTGAATGATGAAGATGGGACTGATAGAGTAGAGTCATTACGTAGTGGAAATAAATTTGACTCTGACTCAGATGATCAAAAAATCGTAGATGTCTTGAGTTTAACATTCAAACTGATAAGGGAAACTCACAGATTAAAGTTGGGATGATTTTTGGTGATAAAATGAAGTTGAAAGAGGTTGTTAGGAAGTATGAGATAAGGTGAAGAAAAAATCGAAGATTCTTTTCTTACGTTTATTATTTTTCATTTACATTTTATGACTAGAAGTGTGTTTTTTTTTACAATATGTGAAAATTTAGTCTATGTTATTTATTAATTGAATTTTTATTTCTCTTCATTTTCAGTGATGTGTGAACCATATTATA